TAATAGAATTCTTACCATTTTGAGGGCTTCTGCTGTCAAAACATTACTTCGGTTGGGAGTACTGTCATCCTCGGAGGCTGTAATTAAATAAATACCACCAAAAAAAAAAATCGTAATTTTCAAATTTGCTGTAGAAAATAATGATAGAACAAAGCTGAACAGTGAATGGTGGTCAAAAGAGTACCACCCTATTTTCGGGTCGTGCTCGAAGATGCTTTGGAGTTTGGTAACTACAGAAACAATAAATCTGATTTATATTAAGACACTATTCAAATGTGAATACTGTGTTTATGTGTTTAATAAGGTTATATGACCATTGGGGGAGCTTTAGGAAAATATTCCTACCTGACAAGAGACAACACAGTCTCCTCATATTCTTTCCCATTCTCTTTCGAAGTCGGGCGAAAAATCGTCGCTTACGAGAAGATGGGCGAGCCATTTCTCTTTGAGATATAAAGACAACTAGGAGCAGAGCAAACGTCTTCAATGCAAGGGGAATTCATAAAGAATGAATCTCTTGTAGGTAATGCGTTACTAATGAAAACACAAAACTTGCGCATTTCATTATTACGTATGATTTTTGGAGTAGGATTTTAGTAACGCGTTCCTGATTGGTCAAAAGTTTCTACTCGAACGCATTGGTGATGAGTATACATTATTACGTAGGTCAATGCGCGTAAATGTGTGAGAGGGCTTTTCCTATAGGTTGAAGTGAATGCACGCGATGACCTCACAATATGATTGCGTAGGTTTTGTCCCTTTTTGTCCCTTATAAACTGCCAAAAGCATGAAAGACAGTGGCGGCAGTGACTGCAGGGGGCAGAGGACGTGCCCCGGACAGCCTTTAGAGGAGATGAACAAAATCCGCAAAAAACTACAGGTGCAAAACACGAAGGGAAAAAAAGAAAGGAAAGGGGAGAAAGGGAAGACAAGATTATTAAGATAATAAGGATTATATGCGCTCCCAATACGTTAGGTAAATTGCATCAGAAATAACATTTTGTGTGGGTTTACAATGAAATCTTTTGCTAAAACTCAGTCGCTTCACTCCCTCACATAATGCTGTTACTCTAGGATCTCGTTATTGCGAAACCCAATATAGTCTACAATCGGTGATTCTAGATTGGTCATTTGTTTTGGTTTTTAATATATATCTCGTTGCTTTGCCCCAAAGTCGCGAACAATTTGATAGCAAAATTTCATTTAAATTTTATCATAATGTGAAAGAGGACGTCATTTAAGATACACTTCTGGAAAGATTTCCCCCAAAATAATGTGTTTAAAGTCGAATATTGATAAAAGAATACAAAATTTAACTACGGATTTGAGCGGGCTACTCAGGCCTGGTTGACAATAGATCGGTTTACTAACATATTAAAATGTATGGATGTTTTCACTGGGGACCAAGTGACATGTTATTAATAAAATACTAGGAATCCATGTCGGGCAATCATTGGTCAAACTTTCAGACTGTCAAGTTTGTTTAGAAAGGATGAATAAAATTGTTATATATTAGTTGGCCGGTTTATTAGCTTAATAGCCTATACCGTGAGAGTCAAAAAAAAGTTTACATCTAGAAAATTGCTAATTTTTTTTAAAAATCATCTATGAACAGTAAAATATTATACATCTTATGAAAAAGTGTTTTATCTCAAATCATTAAGTACCATATTTGTGTGGTATGTGTTCACGCTTGGATGAACAGGTGGCATCGTTTGCGACAGTGCGAAAAATCGACTTACGCCAAGGTGATGCCTACAGTATGTATTATGTTGGGATTAGCGGAGTGAGAAAATGGATTGCATGTATCAAATGAAATGCATTGCATATGCTTTTTTTTGCAAAGGGCAAAGTCACACACACCCACATACGCGCGCACAAATGTTCGTTGATATTTAATATTCGATATTTGATATGTGTGGCATGATTAATTTTCTTAGGGATGTTATTTGGATCTGCAAAGACTGAATTAATACCCAAATCCCAATTGTTTTATTCAAACATCACATAGGCAACTTTGGCGCAAGTCCATGTTTGCACTCTCGCAAACAATGCCTCCCGTTCATCCAAGCGTGAACACATGCCACACAAAAATGATACCAAACGATTTGGGATAAAACGCTCTTTCAAAAGATGTATAATAATTTACTGTTCATGGATGATTTTTAAAATAATTAGCCTAGCCTAATTTTCTAGGTTTAAACTTTTTTTTGACTCACATGCACGGTAGTGCCTCCATGTAATAATAATAGTTCGTACTTATATCAGGAAGCTGTAATGAATGGAGATACCGTCTCGAAAGAATTTTCCGAGGGGAAAATATTCAAGATTAACCTGGCTTAACAAAAAGAAATGTAACCCTCTCCAACCATCATTTCCATCAACAGCTGTCCATATCAATGCACAGTCCCTCTCTGGAATTCCAAATAGTACGAAATGTTACGCAACGCCATCTGCTTCCATAAGTTCTCTATTCACTCTTTTGCAAATATATGCAAGCACCGAGCTTTGAAGCCATGCGTAGCACCGACAAATTAAGTCATGTTCAGTGAAGATGTATTTAGCTGTAACATATAAAAGACAGAATTAACAACATAAGACCAGTGCAACTTTATATTAGTCATCAAGTGCTTTTTCTGTTCTCGGGTAGCTCTACTGAAGACATGGCCATTTCAACCAGCGAAATCGACCAAGGAAATCGTGAGTTAGAGCGAATGAAAGGTTTTCATCATCATGATTTTCTCATCTAATTATTGACATTTTCCGAAAATTTCCGAAATTTGTACATAGCTAGTAAGGTAGTCTAAAGGTTTATCTTCCTAAATAACTAAATGAAATTGTGTTGTATGTTTGCGCATTTATTGATTGAGGGCTAGAAGTTGTCAAGTTATCACCACTATTCACCCCAAATACGGGCCCACAAAGCAAAAGCCGCCGTGCTCGCTGGGCTGGGCTGTGTGTGGAAAGGGAGGACCTAGTGCTACTAGGGAGCTGTACGGTTTCGGAGGGGGATTAAGGGGATTACGGTAGGGGAAACAAAAGACGCGCGGTGCCACGGATGGCTTCAAAGGGGCCTCTTGGACGGGATCTCCATTCATTACAGCTTCCTGCTTATATAGCGCTTTTCAGGACCACAGGCCCTCTCAAAGCGCTTTACAGATATGTATTATTACTCCAGTCATTGGATTCAGTCTTCACTCGCAAACAATGTATGCACATTCTCCACTCCCTGGGAAGCATTCCAGCCAGGCATAATTTTTACAAGCGCAAACTTGCTCATCTAACCACATTAACTTTCGCATTCTACCGGGTACCCATTTAACACCGGGGTGGAGATCGAGTAGCAAATGTAGATCAATGCCAAAGGACATTAGTGCCGCGGCAGGACTTGAACCACGGACCTTGTGATTCACAGTCCGGTGACATACTCACTCGACCACGACACCTCTATGTATTATCAAGCTCTTTAGCCAAATATTTGTGATTGATTCAGTGAAGAGACCTTGGCAATTTCTTGTAATTTTTCTAAAAAAAGAGCTTTTGAAAAAGAAAATGAAGTGTCATATTCCATAGCAAAACAAAAATGATGGCACTGATGTACTAATCCATTAATGTCGATTCGTTTTTCTTCTTCTTCATAACATTTACATTGTCATTAACGCAACTGCAATTTTATATTGAACTTTATGTGGAAAAGCATAGAATTATGAAGAATTGCAGTGTTGCAGAGCGGAATGATAATAATTGAGTGAATGATAAAGTACAACTACCGGTATAATGTTTGGTATCAGGTAGCCTTGTAACAGAGGGGATACCAGCAATGGTGTCGCGAGAGTCTCTATTTTGATAGATAAGAATATCGCTTCCACCGGATAAGAGGTATTGAATTATAAGAAGAAGAACTATTAATAAGTAAGGAGGCGGCATGTTTGTATTATAAAGTTGAGGGGTTAGACTCAATTAAGTGGAACTTTCATAATTCTATTGCGAAGTGGGAGGGGTGGGGTGGGGTACAAATCCGAAATATGTCATATCTCTGTCAAGGAAGCAAGCACTTAAAAGGGAAAAGGTTTTCATATATTATATTTCGGGTTTCAGGTCCCTATTTGGCCGGGGTGACTCATACTATTACACACTTATTGCGCATTTATATTAAATGAACTTACGGTATTCAAACTTGGATTTTGCCTGAATATGCAACTATGAATATTTTCTCCATCACTATTGAAGAAAAAGCTCTCATGTACACTATATTATGTCTAATAAATATCGTTTTTAACATTACGGTATCAAACCTGAGAAAGCCAACAAGCAATGGCGACGATTTGTATTCATGACTGGGGGGGGGGGGGGGACGAAATGCGATATTTGCCAGTACATTTTGAAGGATATTATGCGAGGGAGCGTAGTAAGAAGATTTTTTCCTCATTTTTATTAGTCTAAACGCTGCACTATTGGGCCCTCCAGAGCCTTTAAAGTGTGTTGCAGACTTTGATAAGTATTTGCTATACATTTTTATGTGCACTTTTTCAAAATTTCCGGGAAGGAGGGAAGATTCCCCCCTAGAAAAATTGAGGTTTTTCCTACGTTTCTTAAAGGTACATTTAGATGGTTCTTTATATCTTTAAAAGCTATCTGCACTAGTTTGGTGGGGGGATTAGACCTCCCTGCGTGGTCACTGACATGTGGTTATCTCATCAAATCAGCTCTCAGTTAACATAAGAAAAGGGAACCATGGGGCTCAACAGGTACTGCTTAGGCATTGTTGGATGTAAAGAGGGCGCAAGTAGCTACAAGAAGTGCAGTCCCGCGTTAAAAAGTAAGATTTCTGAGAAGAGATGAATAAGATGTGTTGGGGACTGATCGACCGTTATGTCAAGGCAGGATCACCTTACCTGAGACCATACGGTCCGCCATACGCTGCATGTTCACATCCTGTCTACGCCATGTCTTCGCCAGTGTTTGCCCCGAGAAAAAAAAAACATAAATGGGGGCCCTGCAAAAGAAAACAATCATTCGCCAGCCCGGACCTCGACAAGAGCAACAGAACCAACCTTTCCTGCACCATACTCTAGAGATCTCTAAACCATCGTCTTCAACAGTCTTCATCTGACCGTTCCTGGATTGGTAAGTGATAACAGTCATGGAGGTGTCGTGGTTTAGTGGTTCATTTACTTGACTCTCAATCCAAGGGTGTAGAGTTCGCATCCCATCCAGATACTAATGTCCTTTGGCAAAACATTCATCAACTTTTGTCACTCTCCTGACGGGTGATATTTTGTTGCTCGGTAGGATGCGAAAGTAATAAACAATTTGGCGCATCAGATCGATGTTTTTTTTTTAACTCCGCCTCTTTAATCTGTTGATGAGAAAACTAATTTTATTCTGATATTTTACATTCAACAAAAAGGCGTTTAAACATGTTAACAGTTTGTTGAGCATTTTGATATGGTCGTGAGAGTTATTGGATTGTTAATCATAATTGGCTAAGAAAGTGAGAAAAATATTTTTGGGAGTGTTAAGAAAATAATTTGTGGTACAAATAGTACAATAATCATTCAAGTATCACCATGTCGAGGGGCACTTTCACGGGATTAACATAGTGTCCTTTGTTCCAATTATTATTATTATTATTATCACTAATTATTCGTCGTCACCTGTGCCTGGGAGGCGAAAAGCGAACTGAATCTTTGTAACCCTCTTGTCTCCCCTCTCGGCTATTATACTGATTGGGGGTGTGCAGGTAGACCACTACACCGTGGTTTAGTGCAGCGGGTTCCGTGCAAAGGTGGTGACTCTCCTCTACACGGGGAGGTGGGAGGACGTAACGTCCTATCCGAGGGTTAGCAGGGCTGAATCTCTTGCTCGATTATCAAATTTCCATATGCTCGATTTGCATGCGAGCGAGTGAAAATATATAGTGTTATTCAGGGGCGTACGCAGGGGGGGGGGGGTTGGGGTTCAACCCCCCCCCCCTTTGATTTTTTTTTTTTTAAATTTTTTTTTTATTATTTAAAAAAAAAAAATTATACCCACGGCAAACCTAAATAAGGTGACCTTACCCCCCCCCCCCAACGAAGAAAAATGTCAAATTTTAAAATTTCGAGACACCAAAAAAAAAAAAAAAGTGTCCGCTTACCCCCCCCCCCCCCCCCCCCCCCCACTGAGCGACTTTTCGGCCGGCGCGATTTTCAAATTTTCGGGAGCAAAATATTTTAAACCCCCCCCCCCTTGAAAAAATCCTGCGTACGCCCCTGGTGTTATTATATATCAAAGATATATAAAAATATTTTAAAAATAGACTACCTTGCTGCCGGATGTTTAGCGATGATAGCTCGGATATTTATCATTTTGAATTTTTTGGATGGCGGTTCCGGCCCCTCCCCCCCCCCCGCCTCATACGCCTATGTCAAGAACTTTATCGTGCTTTCCATTAAATTAAAAGTTGATTTAAGTTTCTTAAAATATCATGGTATGAATCTAAGATCTAGAAAATAGTGCTGAAAATCATTTAAACATTAATTATTTTCCTTCTATTTTAACACTTTTTTTTTATAGATTATCTTTAAAAATGAAAGGCACCATACTCGTAACCGTGGTGGTCCTTGGTTTGGTGATCGCTCACGTGACTGCGGCCAACTTGGAACATCTCTTCGATGATGAAGGGGACCTTCAAATGTGTAAGTTCCAAAGACCAGAGAGAATAAGAGAGAGAGAGAGAGAGAGGGGGGGGGGGGGAGGAGAGAGAGAGAGAAAGGTAGAGAGGAAAAAGGGAATGTAAAATTGAAAGGGATAGAGAAATAAAGCGAAAGACAGGAAAGAAGAAGAGAGAGAGAGAGATTAGAGAGGGTAGGTGAGGAAGAAAGCAATAATAATTTTTACAAAACACTAGGCGTATTAAATGAGTACAAACTTTTTTGTTGTTGTTGGGGAGGGGTGGGGGGGGGGGGGGGGCAGAACAAAAATCCGCATCACCGCCAAGCGGCACAATGGGCAATTATTTTATAAAGAGGGGATGTGGATATTGACGATGACGGTCAAGATGTACTGTTTTTTTAATATTTTTAAATAAGAGGCACTCACCAGAGAGGAAAAAGGGCACTTATTACAAAGGAGAATTAGGGGCAAGTACCAGAAGGAAAATGGCACCACTTAAGAAGGATAAAGGAACACGTGCAAAAATAATAGGGTCACTTTTATAAAGATAAGGGGGGCATCTCTCAATTTTGAATAAGGGCAATCACCGGAGATAAAAAGGGGCATTTATAAGAATAAAAAGAGGAACTTGTCAAAACATAAGGGACACCTCTCAGATTTGAAAAGAGGCAATCATAATATAAGAGGTGAATGGGCACTTATCAGAGGTGGTAAGGAGCACTTCTTGTACTTGAAAAGGGGCACTCACCTGAGATGAATAGGGGCACTTGTGATGATATAAGGGGGCACTTATTACAAAGCAAAATTGCCACTTGTTGTAGGAAAAGGGGCACCTATGAGATTTTAATAGAGGCATTTATTAGAGGTGGGGGTACGGGCATTTATGAGAAGGGGAGGTGGATATATTTTTTTAAACAGGCATGTCTCAGAAGGAAAAAGGGCTCTTATTAGAAAGAAAGGGGGAACACGTGTTAAAATAAAAATTGGCACTTATCAGAGGTGAGAAGGAGCTCTCATCAAAGATAAAAAGGGGCACTTGTCTGAAGAGGATCGGGCACTTATTACAAAGGAAAAAGGCATATAGCCTATGTTAATGTAAAATGGGCACCTCTCAGATTTGAATAGGGCAATTATCAGAGGTAAAGGGGCACTTATCTGAGGTAAAGGGGCACTTATCAGAGTTCGTTAGAGACACTTATAAGAATGTGGAACGGGCACCTATTTGAAATTTTAAAAAGAAGCGTTTATTTAAAGTAAAAAGGGGTACTTATCAGAGTTCGTTAGAGACACTTATAAGAATGTGAAAACGGGCACCTATTTGAAATTTTAAAAAGAAGCGTTTATTTAAAGTAAAAAGGGGTACTTGAGGTTTTTTTTTGCTTGACTACAGATTTGGGAATTTAATTGTTTTCCAAAAAACGTATACAAAAGTATAATTTACAAAAAAATGAGAAAAAAAAACCCGGAAAGTCATTTCACTTCAGTAACAATTGTAAATCACTGGTATTGAATAAGAAATAAACCACGTTTGAATTGTATTGGGGGGGGGGCAACTGCCCCCAAGCCCCCACCCTCATCAGTACGCCAGTGGGGAGTAGCATGATAAAAATAAAACTTACTCCAAAAAAATAGTTTAAGTATAAAACGTGCAATCTCCATTCTGATAAAAGTTTAGAATGTTTAGTGTCAATAATAAAGTGTCCCTTTTATATATTAGTATGCATTCTAAGAGTGTTATATTTCTATGTTATTTTTAGCGTAATATTTTAGAGTCTTTTAGAACAAGATAACATACAATCATTGCATTTATTTTCCCCCATTACGTAACACATTTCTAGATCTGGATGAGGAGGCCGTAGATGACGTCCTGGCTGCTAGCTGGTTCTCACATGCGATCCACAATGCCGGTTCCTGGACTAAGAAGGCGGTCCACGATGCCGGGGATTGGACCAAGAAAGCCGCACATGATGTCGCGGGTGCTGTAAAGAAGGGGTGCGGTGTGGTCAACTCGCTGCCTTTTAAGGAGCTGGGTAAGTTAGTAGTATGAGTGAGTCAGTGGGTGTCTGATTAGTGGAATGAATGAATAATTGATTGATTGATTGATTAATTGGTTGGTTTATTGGTTTTGATCATCAAGTAGTGAGAGAGAAAGAGAGAGAGAGAGAGAGAGAAAGAGAGAGAAAGAGAGAGAGAGAGAGCGAGAGAGAGAGAGAGAGGGAGAGAAGGAGAGAGAAAAGAGAGAGAGAGAAAGAGAGCAAGAGGGAAATTAAAACAAAAAGAGGAAAGACAAACAATTTGAAAAACAAGTGAACGGTCTTCATATGTCTATGTTTGGTGGCATATATTTGTTTTAAACTTAACGTAGTCGCAGAGGGAGGGAGGGGCGTACCCCCATGCCGGGCCCTTCGATCTGCCACTGCTGTTCTACTTAATTATTTTTCTCTTGATTTCACGACAGTTATGCGTAGGAATGAGGCTCTACGCAAACGTGGGATCAGTGAAGACCAGCTTGCCGCTGCATTAAAAGGCTACAAGGGCCTCAAGCAAGTCTGCCACGTTGTGGGTTAAATATCAGTAAGTATATATCCATGGGTGTCGATCCCGGGGGGATGGGGGATATATCCCCCCCCCAAAAAAAAAAAAAAAAAAAGATATATATATATATATATATATATATATCATCCCCCCAATAATTCACCATCAAAAAAAAATGAAGAGAAAAATTAACGATGAGGGCCCGATGAGAGTAGTTAATGGTTATTACTCGCAAGATGACCATCAATATACACATTTTGCTATCTCATTTTCATAATACATACATATAGAAATAGAAAACGAAGTAAATGAGACAACCGTATATGAGACAAGAATAAATTGAATTCTCGCTCATACGGCTTCATCAGGAATTGATGAATTTATTCAATTTATTCAATCAACAGCATCATAGAAATGCAGTGCGCCAAATGCAAAGCCGCGGCGTTAAAAAGCAACGAGCTAAATGTTAAGCGCGAAGCGCAAAAGTGCAAAAAAGAAGTAGAGAGTGGGAGAGAGAGATAATGAGAGACAGAGAGGAACCCAGGTAGCAAGCCCGTGTGGGACCCACATGGGTCCCATATTCTCTCAAACATGGCCCCATATGAAAAACCATCTGGGGCCCTAAGGCATCTGCACCCAAGAAGCATATGGGTCCCATATAAGACAGATGAGACCCAGATGGGACCCATACCAAACTGGGCCCAAATGGGTTATGCCCAGCTTAATCCCATCTGGTACCCATTTTGGTTAACCCAGATATATCCCATGTGGGTTATACCCAGAATTTTCCCCATGTGTTACCCATATGGGCATATTCATATTCTGCCCATATGTGTACGCCCAGCTCATTCCCATCTGGGACCCATAAGGGCAGGCCCAGATAGATCCCATATGGGTTACGAAATATTGGCCCCATATGGGGTACATATAGGTTCCATTTAGCCCAGATGGCACAAGTGACCCAGATCATCCCCATATGGCCCCATATGGGCTTGCTACCTGGGAAAAGGGAAAAGGGGGAAAAACGGACAGAAGAGAAAAGGAAGAAAGACAAGAGAAAGACAGTTTTGTCCAAATGGCAGCATGTAGGAGATAAAACTTAATAAGCCACTTCAGAAATAGCTTCGGAACGCATGACCCCCAAATGTCCACAGATCTTTTACACTATGGATACGTCCCACTTGTGCATTTTAGAATAATCACTGTCGAAGTGATGGAGGTGCTTCACGAATACCTTTTGTTTGCCCTCTTTAGAAGAATACTTCCACCTGTGTATAAGATAAATGTACTGTCAGTACATAAATGAATACTAATTACAAAACTTTCATGAGCACCATACCAGTATTCGTCTCAATGGTTTCACAATTTGGGACCGAATGACTTTTATCTGCACATGCGCAAATTCTAATTACGAACTTACTTATTGTTTCCTGATTCATACTCGGTATCTATTTTGTTTTATTGATTTCATCCATTTCTTTGTTTATTTATATCTCTCAGTGGCGGATCCAGGGGGGGGGGGCACAGGGGGCACGTGCCCCCCCCCCCGGCCAAAAAAATATGTTAAAATCAGCCCTTAATTCGCTTAAAATGTACTGAAAAAAAGGGGCGTGCCCCCCCCCCCCGGCCCGGCCAATTTGTTTCTATTTTTTTAATTTATTTTTAAAAAATGTATAAAAAAAAATAAAATATGCCAATGGCTAACCAAAAAAGGTGACCTTACCCCCCCCCCCCCCCCCAACGGAGCAAAATGTCAAATTTAAAAATTTCGTGATCAAAAAAAAAAAGTGCCCTCCCCCCCCCCCCCCTCGCTTATTCAGCTGCTGGCTGAGTCGTTGCGATTTTTTTTTGGGGGGGGGACTAAACATAATATATATATATATATGTTCTCTTTCCCACCGTGTGCCCCCCCCCCCCCGGCAAGAAATTCCTGGATCCACCCCTGTCTCTACATGTAAAACATTTGAAGAGCTATTTTCCGAAAGGAGCAAAATCTTTTAATTGCAAATGGAGATAAGGATATACCTTTTCCTCTACAAAATTATTAACCTAAATTAAGAGAGAAATTATGAAAACATGCATCTTTTAATAACAATTTCCATAGACACCTTAACAAAATCGGGTAAACTTAAAAAGTTCTTTCTTAAGTTAAACACATGGATCTAGTGCCTCTTGAAAAAAAGCTCTTTGTATGTACATAAACAAGCAATACAACAGAATACACCAGTTCGATATTTTGAGAAAGATTATTATGTCATAATTTATTTTTGTTTTATTGAAAAGCTGATATAGGCCTTTGTATTGTATTCAAACGTAACAGGCATAAGATAGTTAAGGTGTTTTTGAAGGTTGAAGTTTTGTTTATAACACCCTTCCAATAATAATGCACCTTCTAAGACTGGTTATAGTTTTTGAAGAAAAAAATAGTGCTCTGGTCAGGGCCTTAGGGGAACATTATGCTTATATTTTAGAATTTAGAGCGTATCTGGTATGATAAGTATATCTGGGTGAAAAGGGAGATAATGGAAGTTTGTTGTTTGGTAGTTGGAACGTAAGTTTTATATTATGTTTTTAAGAAACAGACAGTTTGTATGAGATCAGGAGTGGAAATTTTCTGTCTACATGAACCTTTCCTGGTTGTTAATTAATGCATTTGCCCACTGGTAACATAATACTTTCACAAGTTGATATCCCTCACCATTGGATTTTTTTTTGGTAATGTCTAAATTTCGTTTCAAAATAGATGATATCAGTCTGGTAGGCCTATACACTGCAGGCAAGAGTCAGGACTAACATTTAGCATGTTATTAATTTTATTACCACTCTTATATTCTCTGAAATGTTATATTTATTCAGGGTGACTTGAAAAAGTTAATAACTTGGAAGGGAGGAGGTGCAACCTGCCTTTTTTTTTGGGGGGGGGGGTCTCGAAATTTGAAAATTTGACATTTGGCTCCGTTGGGGGATGATAGGTGCCATGGGAATATATATATATATTTTTTTTTTTTTTTTTTATTGTTAAAAAAAAAAATCAAAAAAAAAAAATCCAAGGGGGGGGGGGGGTTTACACACATAAAAATACCAAAGGGGGGGTTTAACCCCCCCCCCCCCTCTGTGTACGCGCCTGCACCCCTGTATATATCCATCTTCTTTTTCACAAGATTGCATGATGCGGCAATTTTTGACGCGTCATGTTGAAGTAAATTCACGATGTGGATGCAATTAAACAGTGCGAAAATTGGGTTGTGTTTATCTTACTAACAGTTACAGTTACTTGTACCGTGCTATATTGGAGGGCGTCAGTGCCTGATGCGGCTGTCTTTGACACGCCTTGGGAGTAGCCTCATATACAAAGTGGATGCAAATAAACAGTGCAAACAAAATTGATTATCTAAAGCCTCGGTCACAAATGCCATTACGAACTGCTACGAACGCCGTACGAACGATTTTCAGACAATGGAAATTCGGGAAGACAATGGAAAAACAGGGAGATTCGTAAGAAATTATTGTCCGTACGAACCTTTGTGACCGTAGCATTACTGAGTGTCTTGTATCGGGCTAATTTGCCTGTACAATCATGCTTGATAACGGGTTCAAAATGACGTTCATTTGCAACTGACGTCAAAGTTTAAAAGTGTTGATTTATGTGTAAATATAGAATAGAAGCAGCCAAGAAAGAAATGAAAAGTGCTATTTGTGGGCAACACGGTCATGATCCCCAGATCTCTCTCTCTCTCTCTCCTCTCTCTCTTTCTATCTCTCTCTCGCGCTCTCTCTCTTTTTTTCTTTCTCTCTCTCCGTCAAGTCTATATTCAGTATTAGATTTTTATTTGGACATGTTGGATGTAATTTTTTGTCTTTCATGTTGCTATCAGATTATGAAGTAATATTATTATCGATAATCACTATTCATATTGCAGAAAGAGGACAAGGACGATTGAAAGGAAACACACGGAGCCCGCCTTCCTCATGTAAATTCATCAACATTTTGTCTGTTTATCATTTCCTCATACTCAGACACTTTAATTAAGCCTATGATGTCTGGTCGCAGTTGATTTACCGATTAGCAAAATCACTGCAGTTCTTAATTTTTGTTTTCCACTTCAAAATGAAATGTATTTAAAATCCAATAATCTTTCATAGCTCACCGTAAATATTTTGCGTAACGGAAAGGGATAAATATGAATGATTGACGTTTTGATGATCATCGTAAGTATACAAATTTAAGAACCCACCGATTCTTCCCCTCCGAATGCAGCTTGAAAAAAGTATGATGACTAAGAAACTCCCGTACTAATTTCACGAAACTTCAAATTTAAAATAATAAAGAATAATTTGTTTACATTCCATCAAAAAGAGTATTGCTGATCGTTCGTCTGAGGAGTAGATTATAATAAATTATCGAGTAGAAAAGAAAATATGTGCATTGTTGTGTTATCTTTTGTGTGATACTGTGTGATAATGACAAATTATAAACTATCAAAGATGTGGGAGAGAGAGAGAGAGAGAGAGTAAAGATAGAGAGAGAGAGAGAAACATGAAAGTGAGAGAGAGAAAGAGAGAGAGAGAGAGAAAATATTTATAGGGCTTTCATGTGAACGATAAAATCCTGTTTCTCTTTTACCAGTCGATAATTCAGAGTACTATTACATTTGATTTCATTATCTGGTTTAACAATGCAAGGCAAAGTGACAAACAAAAGCTGAGAAGGGTTGTAAAATAAGCCAGCAAAATAATGAACCATACTGTTGACCTAGATGAAGTCTGTAAGGAAAGAGTAGTATCTAAGGCCCTATCCATTATGTCTGATCTTACCCACCCCCTTAATGACCAGTACATACACCTGAGAAGCGGACGAAGATTGAGATCTGTTAAAGCAAGAACTAGTCGCCGCATTAATTCATTCATTCCACTTTCCATAAGAGTTTTTAATGAAACCCAGTAAAGAGAAGAGAATGTGAAAACCATGCAAAATACCCTCATTGACATGTTACACGCTACTGTTATACTATATCAAGAAACAATTGTTAACACAAAATACCTACTTCAGATTAGAGCATATAAGAATACAAGAAAATGGAGAATAATGTAAGAAGAAAGAGAGAAGAAGAATAAGAAGAAGAAGAAGAAGAAGAAGAAGAAGAAGAAGAAGAAGAAGAAGAAGAAGAAGAAGAAGAAGAAGAAGAAGAAGAAGAAAAGGAAGAAAAAAGAGTATTTAAATGTATATTCATCATGATCATGTATATTATATCAAAATATGTATACTAAAACAGGGCCCTATATGTCAATTATATGTTGTTCCTATGCTCATAATTATGTTGAAGCAAGATTGTTCATGTGCATATAAACAATTATCCTATATGGACACAATAAAGAAATGAAATGAAATGAAATATAGAGCCCGGGTGTCACTCATACATAAATGCTGCCCAACCGTGTCCATCAACCTTTGACATGAATCCTAATGGCGTATCGCACCTTTTCTGAAAAGGACCCTAATGGCGTATCGCACGTTTTCTTAAATGCCCCTAATGGCGTTCGCCTATGTATTTCACATTTTCCGAAATGGACCCGCGAAACGTTTTTTCAAAGTGGGGTGGTAAGCGAGCAAAGCAAGTGGAGCATAAATTGGCGTAGGGTCCAGGGGCATTGCCTCGGCGGTGATCAAGGAGCGAAGCCCACGGAAGCTCAGGGGTTTTAGGCGATTAGGGAAAAGAGCGGAGTATAAACATGATGAGTATTCAGTCTCAATGTCTCACATTGTTTTCCTTGCACTAAAATATATATTCGAGATCATTTTATCCTGTGAATTTTCGTGTAAATATAATAATATGAAAAGAGCGCTAGCTATCACTGCTATACCCGATCCCATGCTCGGACCCTGCCACCCCTATACGTAACACTGTCATTTTTTCTGCAACAACAATTTTTCGAAATTGATTAAAGGTTGCCTATAGTTGAGCAGAACATTATACACGCAAACATTTTAAAAGTGCCCAGGCTACCGAAATGCTTTCATGTATTGCCAAGTTCGTTAGCCAAATATTTGTGATTGATTCAATAAAGAGACCTTGGCAGTTTCTTCTTATTTGTCTAAAAAAGAGCATTTAAAAAAGAAAAAGAAGTGTCATATTCTATAGCAAAATAAAATGATGGATACTGAGGCCTGGACCCCATGCCAATGTATGCTCCACTTGTTTCGGTCGCTACACTCTACCTGATAGTTACCTCCCCACTTTGAAAAATGTTTCGCGGGTCCATTTCGGAAAATGTGCGATACATAGGCCTACGCCATTAGGGGCATTTAAGAAAAGATGCGATACGCCATTAGGGTCCTTGTCAGAAAAGGTGCGATACGCCATTAGGATCCATGTCAAAGGTTGATGGACACGGCTGGGCAGCATTTATGTATGAGTGACACCCCCCCCCCCCCCCCCTCCGGGCTCTATATAGCCCTATAAATATTTTTTTTCTCTCTCTCTCACTTTCATGTTTCTCTCTCTCTCTTTCTCCTCTCTCTCTTTCTTTCTCCTCTCTCTCTCTCTCTCTTTTTCTCTCCCTCTCTCTCTCCCTATTTCGCTCTAGCTTTGCTTTCTCTTCCACTCTCCATCTTGCCCCTTCTCAATCTCTCTCTCTCTCTCTCTCTCCCTTTCTCTCTCTCTCTTTCTCCTCACTCTCTTTCTTTCTCCTCTCTCTCTCCCCCTCTCTCTCTCCCGCCCTCTCTCCCTATTTCGCTCTAGCTTTGCTTTCTCTTCCACTCTCCATCTTTGCCCCTTCTCAATCTCTCTCTCTCTCTCTCTCTCTCTCTCCCACATGTTTGATAGTTTATCATTATCACATAGATCACACAAAAGATAACACAAAACTGCACTTATTTTCTTTTGTACTCAATAATGCAGACGAACGATCAGCACACTACAATATACCCGTTTGTAATGGAATGTAAACAAATTATTCTTTAGTATTTTAAATTTGAATTTTCATGAAATTAGTACGGGAGTTTCTTAGTCATCACACTTTTTTTCAAGCTGCATTCGGAGGGGAAGAATCGGTTGGTTCTTAAATTTGTATACTTACGATGATCATCAAAACGTCAATCATTCATATTTATCCCTTTCCGTTACGCAAATACATATACGGTGAGCTATGAAAGATTATTGGATTTTAAATACATTTTATTTTGAAGTGGAAAACAAAAATTAAGAATTGCAGTGATTTTGCTTATCGGTAAATCAACTGCGACCAGACATCATAGGCTTAATTAAAGTGTCTGAGTATGAGGAAATGATGAACAGATAAATGTTGATGAATTTAAATGAGGAAGGCGGGCTCCATAATGTTTTCTTTCAATCGTCTTTCTGCAATAAAGATATAAATAGTGATTATCGATAATATATTACTTCATAATCTGCCAGCCACATAATTATAAGAAAACAATTACATCCAACATGTTCAAATAAAAAAGTCCAATAATGAATATAGACGTGACGAAGAGAGAGAGAGAGAGAGATAGAAAGAGGGAGAGAGAGAGAGAGAGAGAGATCTAGGGATCATGGCCGTGTGGCCCACAAATAGCACTTTTAATTTCTTCTTGGCTGCTTCTATTCTATATTTACACATAAATCAACACTTTTAAACTTTGACGTCAGTTGCAAATGAACGTCATTTTTTAACCCGTTATCAAGCATGATTGTACAGGCAAATTAGCCCGATACAAGCAATGCTACGGTCACAGAGGTTCGTACGAACAATAATTTCTTACGAATCTCCCTGTTTTTCCATTGTCTTCCTGAATTTCCATTGTCTGAAAATTGTTCGTACGGCGTTCGTAGCAGTTCGTAATGGCATTTGTGACCGAGGCTTTAGATAATCAATTTTGTTTGCACTGTTTATTTGCATCCACTTTGTGTATGAGGCTACTCCCAAAGGCGTGTCAAAGACTGCCGCCCTCCAATAAAGCACGGTACAAGACAGTAGTCACTGTAACTGTCAGTAAAATAAACACAACCCAATTTTCGCACTGTTTAATTGCATCCACATCGTGATTTTTACTTCAACATGACGCGTCAAAAACTGCCGCATCATGCAATGACGCAGCCCTGCGTCTCCAAAAAGCAGGCACGGATCCAGGATTTCTTAGGGGAAGGGGCCCAACTTCTTTTTTTTTTTGCTCCCGAAAATTGAAAATCGCGCCGGCCGAAAAGTCGCTCAGTGGGGGGGGGGGGGGGGGGGCGGTCGTGAGGAAATTCTTTTGGGGGGGGGTCCTCGAATATTTAAAAATTTGCACCCCCACCCCCTTTAGCGCAACCCCACAAAAAGGTAAAAATCACGTGTTTTTACATGATTTTTTTTTCTCAAGGGCCCCCCCCCCCCCTGGATCCGCCACTGCCAAAAAGACGCTTCGCGTGCAACGCGGACATAAATCTACTAATCATTAGACTTTATGAAAAAGAAGAAGATGGATATAATTATACTTACTGATATTTAACCCACAACGTGGCAGACATTCCTGAGGCCCTGGTAGCCCGCGTACAAGCTAGCCTGGTCTTCACTGACCCCACGTTTGCGGAGAGCCTCATTCCTACGCATAACTGTCGTGCAATCAAGAGAAAAATAATTAAGTAGAACAGCAGTGGCAGATCGAAGGGCCCGGCGTGGGGTACGCCCCTCCCTCCCTCTGCGACTACGTTAAGTTTAAAACAAATATATGCCACCAAACATAGACATATGAAGACCGTTCACTTGTTTTTCAAATTGTTTGTCTTTCCTCTTTTTTTGTTTTAATTTCCCTCTTGCTCTCTTTCTCTCTCTCTTTTCTCTCTCATTCTCTCCCTCTCTCTCTCTCTCTCTCTCTCTCTCTCGCTCTCTCTCTCTTTTCTCTCTCTCTTTCTCTCTCTCTCTCTCTCTCTCTCTCTCTTTCTCTCTCACTACTTGATGATCAAAACCAATAAACCAACCAATTAATCAATCAATCAATCAATTATTCATTCATTCCACTAATCAGACACCCACTGACTCAATTACTGCTAACTTACCCAGCTCCTTAAAAGGCAGCGAATTGACCACACCGCACCCCTTCTTTACAGCACCCGCGACATCGTGTGCGGCTTTCTTGGTCCAATCCCCGGCATCGTGGACCGCCTTCTTAGTCCAGGAACCGGCATTGTGGATCGCATGTGAGAACCAGCTAGCAGCCAGGACGTCATCTACGGCCTCTTCATCCAGATCTAGAAATGTATTACGTAATGGGGGAAAATAAATGCAATGATTGTATGTAATCTTGTTCTAAAAGACTCTAAAATATTACGCTAAAAATAACATAGAAATATAACACTCTTAGAATGCATACTAATATATCAAAGGGACACTTTATTATTGACACTAAACATTCTAAACTTTTATCAGAATGGACATTGCA